CCTTTATCCTACAATGGACCTTTCTACTATACTAATACAGGTGTACAGATAACACAAAGCGATATACGTATACTAGACGTAGATAGTCTCCTGGTATCCTGCTTCTGTTGTGAGCGAACGGTTATGTCAAATGACTGTTTACGTCACAGTTAAATTTGAGGTCCTCATTGAGGTCCGCATTTAAGTCTTGTCGATTTCTTTCAAAATCAAATTCAACGATTGGGATGGAAAAAAATCTACACAATAGTTGCAGGATAAAGACAATAACTGTTTAGTGTCTTTAAATATCAGCTGTATTTGTACTCGGCTCGAAACAGGAGTAATAGCTCGCTGAAGCTCGCATTACAATTGTTTCTTAGCCTCGTTCAAATACAGCTGATATTTAAAGACACTAAACAGTTATTGTCTATATCTTTAAGTAATCGTTGGTTGGGTTTTTCCGGATTTTAACATGTGTAATGTCCAAATATATGAACGACAGGATGCTAAAAGAAGGCTATCTAATAAATCTACACTTAACCACGAAATACACGAAATAAAAGCTCATAAATGATATATGACAGATTGATTATAAGGGGCCACAATTGACTTTTACATACATGTATCTTCTCCTCATCTTAAAATACTCACGGTTTGAATGGCACAAGCGCTGGCGTTATATGCTTACGTTAAATGTATAATATATTATGGCAAGTATGTATCTATAGGCATTAATGATAAATCTTTTATATATTTATTTCACAACGTGGTGTTTGGTAAAGTGTTAGAAGCATGAATATTCTATAAATACATTGCCTTCTTCAAATATATTACTGAATATTCTGTATTAAAAATGATCCAGTTTACCCACAAAACATGTGGTGAGGTGTTGTTTGAAATTATATCGTTTTTGTTTTGTATGCAGATGCGATCATAGAGTTGAATGCGTTACTAGCGATGGTTAGTGATGACATAAATATTTATAATTACTCATAACTTTTGTCATATAATATATATTATAATGCTCCATTTGCGCTCTAGCAAAAGCCTAGCTTTCCTGATAAAAAACTATATACATATAGAAAAGTCAAAATATAGTCCTTAGTGTTAGATTAATCCCAGTATATTGTCGCATTGAAATATTTATATACTGTAATTGTGTCATACAACAATAAATCTAGTCACACAGCTAAAAAACACACGAGTGCTATAGTTTGTATTAAAAAGGAATTTATACTTTACAGACGGACATGGAATACGCAATAGAATTAATTCTATTACAAGAGCATGATTACTCTGACGAATCAACACAGATACTAGGCTTACCATTTTGGTGATCTATTTTTGGTGTATGTGGTTCATTTAATTTTACGAAAAAAAGATAGTCAATTCGACAACCATCATCAACAGAAAAACCCACCACTGTATGTTGCTGTTATGTCCATCGTTACTATAACTGAATCACTGGGCTTTACATTTTGAATTGGATTATATCAAAACTGTCAGTGAACAAAACACTAAAATATTTTTTTTGCAATTCAATAGTTTATCCGGTATGGTATGGTATGGTATGGTATGACAATTATGTCATATATACAAATAAGAAATGTGGTATTATTCCCAATGAGTCAAATCTCCATCAGAGACTAATTAACGTAGAAGTTAACAACTATATGTGACCGTAAGGCATTCAACAAGGAGCAAAACCCATACGGCATAGTAAGCTGTACAAGGACCCACAATGACAAATAGTACACAATTGAAAAACTCAATATAGATATTGAATGCAAATTTATAATCGTTAAATTGCGAAAACATTACAAAATATGGCTTTGTTTTTATTGTAGTAAAGCCTCTCAAGGATAACAAGATATTCATAGTCTTGATCATCCCAATCGGTATCCTGATCATAATTATTTTATCTTATAAATATTATCAAAAGCTGAAACAAGGTAATATCGCAAGTACTAATGCAACGTCCAACTTATCTGCGGACATAGTGAAAAAAACTGTTACTACACATAAATATGATGTACAGGAAGAGCCCTATTTGTATGACGACATATCTGACGAAGTACAAGGAAAAAATATGGCAGTCGGAAAAAATATCAGTCAGGAAAACGAAATTATTAGTGTTTCTATCCAATATCATGACACATGTGATTGATTTAGTGAATAGAATGAATCAGAGACAGAAAATGTAACAAACAAAACTAATCGTGATCATGGAATAGATTCAATAAGCGAGAACAGTAACAGCGTTTCTGGATATTCACATTCTTATGAAGCCATTATTTCTAAAAACATCGAAACGCACGAATACCTATCATTGGAAACAATTGAAACAACAGACTGTTAAAATATGTCAAACCCTATAAATCAAGAAAATAAAACAATATTTACCAATTGATAATGAAAATATCGAACCGCAAATTAAATTATCATAAGGATCAACGGAATATAGAGTGTCGAGACAAAATATTAACATTTTTAATACGTTATGTGTTTACACTCTATGAATTCATTGAAGTCATTATACTGAATTTTGTGTTAAGTTTGTTATGGCTAATTGTTTATGACCTCAAGGATGTACCTACTAATCCATAATTAGTTGTTGAAGTCACATTGACTAGTATAAGAAATGAATTTGTTTGTACGTAAAATAATATTTCAACTGTACAGCAGACTACTTTTTTTTATCAATTGACGATCTCACAGTACTTAATGAGAGTTATCATAAATTAAAGCAGGTAGCAACAAATCCACTTGTACGCCTTTAAGAAATGACTGCATAAATTATGTGATATACGACTGCAAAAGAGGGTTCGATAGAGTGTAACACCCAATAACAGACATGTGTATAATATGAATGTGTTTCTATATGTGTCCTTTTATGACTAGTAAAGCAATATAATAATTAGATAACGTACATGTGTTTTCCTTGCCCTACGAGATACATGTATGTAGATTTGTTCACACAAGACATTTCATATTTCACAGAGAGCACCCAATCGTATTCCTCTATTTGGTTTTAAGAAGTTGACTTGCTTAGTAGCTGGAAATCTTAAGTTTTCAGCTATGGTTTATTCGTGAAAGGGACGGAAGCATATTGTAGACCCATCATTTTTAATCAAATAATGAAAAGAAAGCAACCCAAACGCGGTTTTAAAAGAATGAAAATGTTCCACATAAAAAGTGAAATAGATATAGGAAGATGTGGTTTGAGTGCTAATGAGACAACTCTCCATCCAAGTAACGATTTATAAAAGTAAACCATTATAGGTCAAGGTACGGCCTTCAACACGGAGTATTGGCTCACACCGAACAGCAAGCTATAAACTATTACTAGTGTAAAACCATTCAAACGGGAAAACCAACGGTCTAATCTATATAAAAACGAGAAACGAGAAACACGTATGAACTACATAAACAGACGACAACTACTGTACATCAGATTCCTGACTAAGGACAGGTGCAAACATTTGGAGCGGGATTAAACGTTTTAATGGTACCAAACCTTCTCCGTTTTCTGAAACAATAGGATAACATAACAACATTGAAAGACACACTATAAAATATCAATTGGAAGGCTTAACTCCATCAAAAAACGTAAATTAACACACAATGAACGAATAAATTTGATCTGTGATACCTGGATGCAAATACATAGTTAATAAAAATTATAAGGGATAAATAATTAAGGTCAAAAGTCAATAAACAGGTTTAAACAAAGTTAAAGTATGATACCACTGTGAAATGTTAAACAATATTTAGAAAATAATCACTTTTGAAAAAACCTGCGTCATATTATACACAGGTAAATGAAAATAATTTTGTTGTTAAGTATACTTCTTCTTCTGTGTGTATAAAATCTTCCGTTTAGGAATACCAAGAAATTTCTTTAATATCAATAAAACTAATCTAACACTTGGTACATATGGGGTGAATATCAACAATAAAACTATACAATAAGTGCTAGATAAAACTTCCTGTACAGGTGGAAGAACAGTATTTAAGGAGAAATGAAATAATTGTGATGTTCATAGTACGAAGAAGTGAAAATTTGTAGTAATACCAAACAATCAAAGCTGGTTTATCATGTATATAGACAAGATTCATGTTAAAATTAAATAACAAAAAAGCATTACAAATAGTATCAACAGGTCAAATTAAAAAGAAAGTACGATTTGAGAGTACTCGCAGTTACTGACAGCTAGTTAAAAGCCAACACAATTAATAATAAAAAATCATGCATCAGAGACTGAAATCAACTAAAACACATCCCAGGGATTTAGTATTTTAACGTCATGAACAGTCAAAGAAGACATGACTTGTGCAATGCCAAAAATAAATGTATCGACAGGTAGTATGATAGTTAGGAGTGACTTCTTTATAGATAAAGCTTGAACTGTACACTGACAAATATGAAAAATATGTTATTGCTCTCGATTGTGAAAAATCTTAACACTATTAAATACCTATCAATAAAAAGGCACAATGCATGTGTTTAGGTTAATATTTCGAAAATTTGTATTAAATTTTGCCTTCCTATTTTTTTTTAATTTGACCGCCATTGATGAGTCATATGAAGACTAAACTGACTCTGGCGTACACAGTTTTAAGTGTGGTATCTTTGATGAATTTATGCATCGGGTAAATTCTAAAAAGGTAAATAGTTTATATTTTGATATTTCCGGCGGATACAAAGGGACAAAGTAATAATAGAACAAGCATTTCACGTCGGAACATCGGATACATAAAAAAGGTAGGAACGTCGAGGAAATAGTAAGCAGCACACGGCTTTTTAGTGATTGTACAATTTAAACCTCGTGTCACAATAAACCAGGTGTTATGTCACAAATCAAATTCAAAGCTTTTATTAGCTTTTGGCGACTTTTTTTGGATTTAACTTCACCAAAAAACATAAATTTCAATCATGATGATATATATTCCTTACTGTACATCAACACAATAAATCAAACAGTGACGACTATCACCCCCCCCCCTTTTCCAATAAACAAAAATAAGATAAAAACAGAAACCAAAAACAAACAGTAAAATTTATTTTTCATTTGTATAGGACCACATGACTGGTCTTTTATTTCATTTTTCATTACACTCTTAAATGTATTGTTTGTTTTTCTGCAATAAAAATAACTGGAACCATATCATATGGTGATTTTGATTAATTCAATTAAACAGTATACAGATGGGTTGTCTACTAGTTGCGATTCGTATGTTATTAAATTTAGATGATAAGGAATATTTCATTTCGGAAAACGCGATCTGGATCTTGGGTTTGTCTACTGGTTATAATATAATTTTGATGATCAGCAATATTTAATTCCCGAAGACGCAAACCGCACTTCTTTTGAATAATATTCTATTGATGCAAAATAGTTCACATCAATTTGCACCTTCATAGACCTCGTGAGAAATAAACACCATAATTAACAACTAGTTTTTGTTGTATTTCCTGCTTAAGTCAGTGGCATTTTTTTAAATTAAAATTGGCAATACATCAACTGCTAAATAAATAACTCAAATACCTATAATAAATTCCCTACAAACGATCTGACTTCGGGTTTCCTAATGTCAATTCCAAATTCAAAATTAGTACCATACCATGAAAACGGTATATTTGCTCATAGAGTTAAATTTTTGTGTAAAATACATAAACAAAATTACAGACAATACCCAAAATATAACACCAACAACCAACACTAGACTCCTCTGAAAAACAAATTAATGAAGTAAATGAAGTGACCAAAAACAAACAACAATAAAAACACATAATACATATGTTTGATACAGTCACAGAATGTTGTTGGGGTTAATCCTGTTTCACGTGCGTATATACCTTCCTCGTTGCCATCTAGACCATATGCTGCATATCTCGTAAAAGGAAAACACATAATAATTAACGATACAGTACACGCACCAACACGGAATTATATTCAATACTTCATTCATGAAAAGCCAATTAAATTACTTTACCAGCTCTATTTTCTGCTGGTTCAAAATTATTGTCACATTAACATATTATGTATGTTTGGGTTACTCACCCAATTTTGTCAATTAAACGGAACTATAAAAAGTGGGAGGAATAGGTAGCTATGAAACCAAGTTTATCGAAGAATTTTCTCCGGAAAATGCCTGTACTAAGTCAAGAAAGTGACAGTTGTTTTTCACTTGTTCCATTTGTTGATAACGTTTGATTTTGACATTTTTTAAGACTTCCCTTTTTGAGATTTCCTTGGAATTCGTTATTTTTGTATATTTGTTTTATCAAATTATTTGGACGAGTTTGGAAGAGAATTAATTATTTCTTTTACAAATATATTAAGTAAATATTCTTATTTTTGTTTGTTCCTTTTGTATATTCTGTCTAAATATTGTTCACAGAATTTGTTCCCAGATATATAAATATATAGTGTATAAAGACGTATGTTTTACCTAACTTTAAGACAAAGCAAGTGAATTCAAAATTGCAAGTTATTGCTTTGAGATCTTATTCCATTACTTAATAATCAAATAAATACACTTCTATCACTTTTGTCACGTGTTTATCTCTTCAAATTTCCGCAAAAGTTTGATTATAATTTTATTTCCATGCCGTTTTGCTATTTTCATTGGTGTGTCATTATTTTTTGAAGGCCTATTTACGTTTGCACCGTATTTCAACAATGTATCTACTAAATCTGTATTTTCGTGTTGACATGCAATATGAAGTGGTGTAAAACCGTTTTTGTTTTCTTCAATATGAATATCTTTCAGTGTAATGTGTTGTACGAGGAATTTAACTGTGTCCAAATTATTCATTTCGCAAGCCACATACAATGGTGTTCTTCCAATGTCATCAACTTCATTCATTTTGGCCTTCTCCTGTGCAAGAAGTTCTACCACTTCAGTATGACCTCTTATGGATGCCAGATGTAGTGGGGTGAATCCATGTTTATCTTTCTTATTTTTGTGTGCTTTGTGTTTTATTAACATATCTGTCATGTGTAGGTCACCATTGTTACAAGCTATATGAATCGCACTACGACTGTCACTGTCTCGGAGATGCACGTCCGCTTTTTGTTGTAAAAGAATTTCAGCAATGTGCTGATGTCTATGCAATACAGCCAAATGAAGAGCTGTTTTCCCGTCTAAGTCTTGTTTATCAATGCTTGGCATGTCATTTTTCACAAAATATGCTAATAAGTCAGTGTAACCCGATGATGACACTTTATGAATAACAGTCGATTTGTCTTTTGCATCAACAATATCTTTCGCCTTTAAATGTTTTTCAAAGTGTGGCATCATTTCCATTCGAAACTTAGCTGAACACATTTGCTTATTTGCAAAGACGGTAGATATATATCCACGACTAATGTCGCTTATAAATCGAGTAAAATATTCATTGTACAAATCTGGAGTAACATTTATCATGAAACTGTCAACATTTTCTAATAAACAAGCTAATTGGATTCTTTTCTGCACAAATTCAATAGATCCATATTTTAGTATACTTCTTATAAAATGGTGACCAATACAACCAACCATCATATTAAACATGTATTTATGCATAAATGTAAATCCTTGATCACACTTTTTAACGAATGTACCATCTAATGATCTCAGAGTAGATAACATTAAGCCTTTGGAAGGAGTTTGCAAAATTCCTGACTCGGTAAATATATCTCTAAGCATGACGCCAGTCTTAACGTTATGATTGTCTAGTACATTTTCTTCGACAAAATTATCTAAAACCACGAGCAGAGCTAATACTAAGTAGGTCTCATTTGATTTCAGTTTAATGCTGTTGACTTCGTAACCTATATAGCTGAAAGGATACGTGAAAAAGTTTTCATTTTCTTTACTAGCTGCAAAAATTATGCAAAGAGATGGGAAAAAGCTGTATAACATGAACACATTATCTTTAAGTTCACTTATGATTCCACTATCAATGTAAGATTCGCCTATCTCCTTTCTTTCATCAACTGATAACTGAAGTTGATCTAAGAGAAAATCACAATGTTCAAACGATATATTCTCCAAAGCTAGTTGATTCTGCACCAAATGATATATCTGTGATCTACATGTCATTATTATTTTTGTGTTAGCATGGTAATCTAAAACTGCTCTTACAGAAGAACAAATAAGGCTGAAATCTGTGTCACAGCAATACCTTCCAAAAACGTCATCAATTATAAAAACTTGATTTATACTTGACAAGACATACTTATGTAGATCACTAGCAGCTACTGCCATTACCATATATTTATGAGTTTTCTCTAAAATAAAGGCCACACAATATGCATTTGCCGTTTTACCAACGCCTGGAGGCCCACTTATCAATATACAATTGTTGTTCTGGATTCTCTCCAAAATTACTTTTGTAGCTTTTGTATTGACAAACTTTTCCGTTTTCTCTTTCCAATTGAGTTTTTCCTTATTAAGTATATCTGGAAATAAACAATGGTCACATATACTACATGTATTTGCTAGAATTGTAGATCTATCAATAAACACATCAACGATACCAGGTTTAGGAGTTTGTATGCCAGACGCGCGTTTCGTTATCTTCAGAAAACTCACAGGTGAAACTCGAATCAAAAAAGTTAAAAAGGCAATATCAAGTACATGTACGAATTTGAAGAGCAATGAGGACCTGCAATTCAGAAAGGTTTTGCTAATACTGCTAAGGTAATCTATTCAACTTAACATTATCGTCATGCCTAATATGGAAATACTGTATCATTAGAATAACACATAATACAAAAATAAGTTATAGGAAATTGTTACATGTTCTGCGAAAAAGGCAATAATTTGTTGAGAGTCAAGTATTTGGCCCACACAAGCACTATGCAATACACACTAACAATGAACCTGTACGGTTATCTTTAATTTGATAAACAGAGTCATATATTACAACGAAAAACGTTGTAAAGGTTATTGGCATGACATTTTTTTCATCAATGATTGACTGATTGATATCAGGTCAGTGGTAAATGTGTCATGCATTTGCCGGACTAGAACAATTTCACAATAAAACAAGGCGCATCAGATTTAACGTCCCCATTCTGGGACGTTATTTAATACACAATACATTTTGTATTACTTATACCATAGCACGAAACATATTTTTTATTCACATGTCCCCCAAAAAACAAACATATTTGTAATCAAAAGAATAATATCTTCTAGTATTTAATTTATTTCAGGATAGGTAACTTTATTATACTGCGATTTTTTTTCAAATCAAGAAGGGATTGATAATGTTGATTAAATAATGAGACATGCACATCTAACCTGCGAATACAAAATTTATTAATCTTATTGCGTGAATTCAAGTGCAATGCATGTGTCTTTTGTAGACGAACCATGCATCTGGCGATGAAAGTTTTAATTCTGGTATCTATTTATTTATAATCTATGATAATCAAATATATATAGAATTGGAATTTACGTTTTTTATGTTTATGTGCGTGTTTTTATGTTATAATGATCTTTACTGTAACTATTCATCCAATTTATTTTTCAATTTTAAGCCCATTTGAATCAAAAAGAAAAAAAAAACAAAATTTGGATCCAATCAGTAATATATGTTAACATACTAACTGTTAATAATTTCGGTGTTGAACCATGAATCTTCTTCAGCAGTGCCTGAAAAATATCAATCCATTTCAAGATTAAAGTATACGTTCAATTTCTAAAAAAAAATAAAACTAAACTTTAAAAAAAAAGTTTAATTGGTACGAAGACAGAAACTAACAAAAGCCAATGTAAAAAAGTTTCGTGGTATATTCAAAGTTTGATATGTGTATTCTTCTGAAACATTTGATAATAACTAACACCGTCTTCGTTCAACTAGGAATCAATTCTTAACTATACAGTATAAATCTAATAATGACTTGTTTGATTTTTAGTGATTGACAAAATTGGCCATACAAGATATTTTTTTTACTGAGAAAAACAAATATGTTTTAAATGTCACAAGTCATCTTCATCATCTGCAACGGTCTTTTAGATATGAACAGCTTCTGAATAAGGACGAACGATAACTTATTAGTTCAATTGCAGTCATTCAATCAATTGTAGACTTATCCACTGCGGTAAATTCTGTACTGTTCAGACTTTTTTTTTCAGTTTTGTCAGTATGTTTTCGCAAGAGACCAATTGATACAGAAATTAACAACTATAGGTCACCATACGGCCTTCAACAATGAGCAAATCCCATACTGCAAAGCCAGCTATAAAAGGCCCCAAAATGACAAATTTAAGACAATTCAAACGAAAAAACTAACGGCCTAATTAATGTACAAAATAATCAACGAAAAACAAATATGTAACACAACCACTGAATTACAGTCTCCTGACTTGGGACTATGATTTTGATTATCCTTTTTACATTTGTTGCCTCTGTTTCGATTGAAAACGAGAAATAAAATGAAAGAAATCTGAATACAGCTAATACGCATACATTGAAAGTTTAATCAGCAAATTATATCTTAACATATAAACATAACAAAACATATTCGGCATGAGCCAAGGCTCTTTGTTGAAAGCTGTACTTTGACCTTTAATTGTTAACTTTTTATACATTGTGACTTGGATGGAGAGTTGTCTCATTGGCACTCATACTACATCTTCTCATTTATAATAACGTATCATAAGGCACTGAGTCTCATGTTTATATATTTTAATTTCCAATTATCAATATGAAATCAGCATGGGCCTATAGCTAGGTAGTAAGTATTTTGGAATTCAGTAAACCTATTTTCTATACGACAAGGATTTCCGTGTCTATTTTATGAAATATAATCAGCCTTTTATTTCTGCATTCGATCAGGTAAAGTGAATGAACTTGCAATGTAGGGACTATTTCATGTTTAACAGTAAAATCTTTTCACATTGAAAGATGGACGTACAAGGGCATGCTCGATTATCTGTCATAATGAAATTTCTCCATGTTTCCGTTTCAAGACGTATAATTGGGGTCCTTAATAGTATTGTATAACATTCTTCCAACTACAATGTATTGCTTATACCAATACAAGGAAAGTCGATCAAAATTAACACATTTGATCTTAACAAACGACTTAATAACAAAACGTTCTCTCTCGGATTACAAGAAGAAACTGGAACTTCATTTATCAAGTACGGACGCCATTACGAGTTGGTTGACCGTTATGGAATAACCGTTTCACAGATGATATCGGATATGTTCCTTATGTCGTAGCTACAATACTCTTTCCTTTTCACGAATGTGACCTACCGAATTAGACTACTTACCAGGTTTGTAATAACATAAGCAACACGAAGGGTGCCACATGTGGAGCAGGATCTGCTTAACTTCCGGAGCACCTGAGATCACCCCCAGTTTTTGGTGGGGTTCGTGTTGCTTAGTCTTTAGTTTTCTATGTTGTGTCATCTGTACTATTATTTGTCTGTTTGTCTTTTTCTTTTTGGCCATGGCGTTGTCAGTTTGTTTTCGATCTATGAATTTGACAGTCCCTCTGGTATCTTTCGTCCCTCTTTTATCAAAATATTTGATTGGCTAGTGCACGCTAAAGTTTGCGATGCATATTTAACATGTTTTGCTTATTTCAATGTATGTTTGTTTTCATTTTTATACTTTTTGTACATTTCTTACAAAATAAAATTAAACTAATTTTATCGAGATGAAACGAAAATCCCTCTAACAAAATATAAAAATGACTACGTGCATTAAGGTTTAAGAAACTGATCTCCGTATTCGAAGGTCTTAAAGATATATTAAAAGTTAATTTGGAAACAAAGAAAAAGAAGACCAATACTATAATACTGTTTTTTTAAACATTCAAAGTAGATGATAAACAAACACACTCTTTGAAAAGCGACCAATAAGAAACATTAATACCTGTTGGCCAGCATACGACATTTATTATTAAATTCAAAACATGGAATAACTGTCGTGCACAAGTCTCCTTTCGTGTGGTACACACGGAAACATTCTTTAAGCGTGGACTTATATTTTACAAGACACAGTATGTACAAACAATTGTTCCACTTTGATTGAAAAATGGCAAGGAACCATGAAATTTTATATACAATAAGTAGATTTAGAAAGATTACCAATGATACACCTATCCACTAGAGTTCAATAATGTGGTTTTAAACAATAATAGGTCATTGGAATTCCTTAACAATGAGAAACACCTGTACCGTATTGTCTGATTTAGGCTCTGATATGAAAAAAATGTGTGACAATTGAAATATAAAATACAACCATCTGATTTCTGACAAAACAATTTACAATCAAAACCCCCAAAAAATAACTGACAGCAATTCACGACAACAATTACATTGCACTGAATATGTATTGAAAAATGTAAAATGTTTGACTCATAATAAGCATTTTATAACATTGTTTGTGCATGCAATTAATCTTTAGATTTCGTATAAGTACTTACGCTGATATAGAGGGCAATAGACAACCAACACAAAGATCAGCATACCTGTGAATATAAACAAATTCGTATTAATAGTGAAATACAAATGAAATATAAATTTTAGAGATAAACAATCCAGTTTTTCGTATTTACACATTTCATGCATGACAACTTAGTTAATCACTTCAAACAGTGACGCATCTTTTTAATTTCTAGGATAGCACAGAGAAATATGGACTGAGTTTGAAAAAAGATTCACACGTAGTATGTCGTGTATGTCGTGTATGGTTTTATGCATTATCATCATTTTCAATGGCTTAGTTTTGATGGTACATTTGCTATAATTGTGTTAATTTGATCCTTAATCTTAACTTATACAATGTTTATGATTTTTATCTGTATTGGCACACTATGACTGTTGTGTAATGTTGTTCACTTTGTCTTTCAACAATGGAGCTTTATCGAGTCTTCATTTATTCGAATTTTGAAGGTTTATTTCAGCATATACATGTATTATTTGAAATTCTATTTTCAACGCCTACTGAAGTTAGTTTTGAGCTTTTGTGTCGTGTTGAAGATCTCACTGATCATTTGAGATAAGGCACTACAATAAAAGAACTGTCAATTAACTGCACTTAGTTTTTACATGTGCTTTTCACGATTTTTCTATACACAATATCGTTTCACTTCCGTCACACATCACCCGTATAAGCACCATAACTCATGATACACATACTTTTAACTTTCGTAAAATTCATTTGCTAGTTGAAATAATAATTCCAGTGCATGCTAATTTCAAGCTTACTTTTTTGTAATAAAATATTTTTGATGTGAATGTATATTTGCGGGGCAAAATACAAGTGTTATACTTACCTATAAACGCCACACCAAATACAATGACAAATAAAACGTAGATTCGACCTAAAAGATAGACAAAATTATGTATAATAAATGTAAAAATATTACAGACATCATTAAGACAAAAAGAAAATAAATATGATAATATTAGTGCATACATTTCAGCTTAGAAGACTCATGTTCCAAATTCCAAAGTATACATTGAACTGAATAAATGTTACCTTTGATTTTTTATCACTGTGCATAGCCATTACTGACAGTCGATATACACACAATCTTGAAACAATTACTAGTGTTGGATAATCGGTTGAAATTACCAGCCGAATATCTATTACTATCGGTTGACCTTGCCCTTTTTTAAATGAAATTATGCATTTAGTCACATTGTACAAGTCTAATGTGTATATTCCATATCATTGCAGAATATTTGATCTTTTGTTTTTTTTTTCATATTGTATTAAGCAATTAAAACAGGAATCAATCAGAATCCAGATTCAGATGGAACATATTTTGTTTTATAATTACAACATTTATCACCAAAAAGGACACTAAAATTTCTAAATTTCAATGGTATTACTCACATTATAATTTCAAATACATAGCTGTATAAAAAATTGAATGCTTCTCATTAAAAAAAGATATATAAAGTATTTAATTTTAAGCAATTTAGAATTAATCAAAAAATAAAACACTGCGTTTGCATTGAAATATATACATTTAACTAAGCGGAACCAACCAATGTCTGTTTATTCGTGTAAAATGCTTATTTTTTCACTTTTGTGATCATTATTCTTCTGTAGGTTGCACTTTGTAAATACAGCTGTTTCACAAACCACGACTCTTTTGGGGAAATATATAATATTCATAGATATTTTGTTTGTTTACGTACTGGTTCCAAGATATGATCTCTATCTTTCATCTCATAGAGACATAACTTGGGAATTCTACCAGTATATTTACACATGATTGCAGGGAATTTTGATTCTGAGGGTCACCTAAAGTGAAGGTAGGGGTAGTAACAGAACTTAAGTATAAGTTTAAACTCTTAGAAGTTCGGGTTATATAAATGTTGAAAATATGCTGCACAGCTCTATGTTTTGACCTTTGAATAAAATAGTAGTGCATATCAACTTTCCATTCTAGAATATAATTTTTCATGAAACTTCATAGTAAAAGTGGCACAGTTTTAGCCTTAAAGGGATTTCCTATGGGAAATTGCATTGTTTATATTTACAGAAATGCAACCTATATTTGGTGAAAAAAGAGAACATGTAGAATTTCACCAAATCTGGTTTATCTTAGAGATTTTATTGAAATTAACTCAAATATATAGTTTTATAAATATTTCAAGAAGATTGAGAAAATCCTGGGCCTTAAATTTGATGACTCAGGATAAATTCACAGATTGCAATATACATAGTTTACTTAAGCCCTGGATGCAAAGTTAATTCATAATATATGTATATTTGTAATTTAAATTGTTTAGAAGTGCTTATCTTTACTCTTCGCAGTCATTGAAACTCATAGATCCTTGATAAATATTGTTGTTTTTGTCCTGTTGATTACCCAAAAGTTAGCCGTAACACCTGAATGAGCTTTCTTGTGACCGCGGCATAAAAAAAATACGTGCTAGAAATACAAAAATACCTCAATAAAACTAACAATAGTGTGTTCTATCCTAAATATGTACTTAATACTAAAGTATACCATATTCACAGAAACAGCAGAATGTTTTAGCAAATTTGAGGCCCTAGTGGCAAAAAACAGAGAAAAATGCCTACCCCCTGTGTCATAAAACAGATAATTAAACATTTAAATGCTTTGATTTTATCATTTTAAAGGTCTTTTGTATAGAAAACAATAACTGTTCTTGGAAGTTATGAAAAATAGATATAAGCAGTCAGTTCTATAAAACTTTTAGTGAATTCATACATCAGACTGGTAATTTCACACATAAAACTTTTGCAAATATGGCTTTGTTTAAACATTTCTAGTTCATATATAAGCTCAATTATGTTAGATTTATGGTGAGAGATGATATTTTTGTGACAAGATTTCTAAAATGACCATTCGAGGCAAAATCTGTAAACTAATATTGATAACTAGACATACAGGAAGATGTGGACAGGAGACAATTGCAGGATTGGATACTTTATATGATCTTAAATGTTGGAACTACTAGCTACTAAACTTTACATTTATAGTATTCTGAAATGCGTTCAATTTGTTATCAGAACAGTTTCGAACAGGTTCTAGACATTACATGTCAGAAAACATGCGCATAGGTTTAGCTGGCAATAGCTAATGTCTTGTTTACAAATTCTTTTAAAATTGAAACGGGGGTAGGGGATATAAAATGTACTGTAAAAGAAAAGTTATGCAGTAATTTCTTTAGGGCTAACATTCTGATAGATAATTATTGTTTACAGAAAAAGTGTTTTTAAAGATTTTTCTATTTGAATAAATGTTAGTATAGGTTGCACTTTGTAAACAAAGGTGTTTCATAAACCACGCCTCTTTTGGGGGGATATATAATATTCATAGATATTTGTTTGTTTATGTACTGGTTCCCAGATTTGATCTCTATGTTTCATCTCATAGAGACATAACTTGGGTATGTAATCGGTATATTAACACATGGTTGCAGGGAATTATGAATTCTGAGGGTCACCTAAAGTGAAGGTAGGGGTAGTGCAGAACTTAAGTATAAGTTTAAACTCTCAGAAGTTCGGGGCATATAAATGTTGAAAATATGCCGCACAGCTCTAAGTTTTGACCTTTGAATAAAATAGTAGTGCAGATCAACTTTCCATTCTATGATATAATATTTCATGAATCTTCATAGTAAAAGTGGCACAGTTTTAGCCTTAAAGGGATTTCCTATGGGAAATTGCATTGTCGATATTTACAGAAATGCAACCTGTAAGCTGTGTCATTCTTGCGTCTGTACTTGTAATTGCAAGAATGCGGAATTCTTACATAGTTGATCCGTACATGATCCGTGATTTGTATATATTTCAATGGAGGATAAACTGGGAAAATTTATAAAAATAAACGATGTTTGACATGCAATTTGGAAGGAAATATGACGTTCTTGACGCAACAAATGGATGAAACATTAATAAAAGCCAATTTGCACCACGTTCTAATGTATCAAAAATATCATTTGTCTAAAATCAGAATTATTTCATGTACGCTCTCGAGTAACAAGTACCAGGATTTAAAGAAAGTATTTCATTAAAAGTTATTTATTTTAAATAACATACGATCAATTTGTATAATCAATGCTTTTACCATATTTCTATAGAAAGAAATTGATTATGTCTTTGACTATAGGATGTTTGACATTGTTATTGTCATCAACTGATATTTTTCGTTACAATTTGTTTGACTGCGCATGTAATACTCACACAGGAAACGGATCGTTGATATGCTAAAAAGTCCGGAAATTACATTGCTATCGATTGAACAAAATCCTTATCGATTGTCAACATCGCCATGCTGAACCAACTGATTTCCCACAACAATTACTAACCAACAGTACCTTTTGATTGGTTGCTTAATGCTGATGCAAAGATATAATTGGTTTGAATGAGTTATAAATGAGGGGACACTTCATGAAAGGGATAAGAAATTATAAACTAAGGACGATATCCGACTCCTCATGTAAAAACAAATCCGGTGATAAGTTTAATACGGTAGGCAACGTTCGGAAAATATAGATCGGGTTCATGGTTACGACATTTGGATCATATCAGTCGTCCTCTGTGAAACAGATATCATATATCTGTCAACGAGATTGTGATGGCGTTCGTAAAATTTTCGAAGTAATGATTTTATAACTTCATCACTTGGAACTTTCGATTCAATAGCTTTATTATAAGCTATAATCCTCTTTCAAGAAAATACTGTTAGGAAATTCAAGCTCTGTACCTCGGAAAAATTGTAAATTTAAAGCATCATTTTATAAATAAATATCGTTGTGTACTTCATGTGACGATGAAGTCGAGAATAAAATGTTTGTGTTGTGTCCAATATTTTGTAAACTATAATAGATAGAATGACATTTTAAAGATAAAGACAAGATTTAGATCCTCACGATTTCAAATTAACAGAATCAATATTTTCGTATTGTGTTAATTCTAAAAACAGGTGAGCGAAACAGCTTTTAGAAGTTTCTAGGTTTGACGTTTTGTAATTGTATTCAAGACTATACAAGGTACAATAGAGTTTAACCATGGTACACTTTTAATCGGTTTGTTCAAATGACTGCCAATGTTGTCAATAATTTTCATGTTACATTAATTACACAACAATTTATCTACCTGTAGTAGTAGCACCAGACTCATCAATGGTAACTGTTTGAATTTGATCTTCAATTAGTCTACAATAATGATGCATATTATGAATAATCAACTGAAAAGTAAGAACAGCAGTCAAAATGCAATGTATCTTAAACTTAAAGAGTATGGAGGTGTACTACCACCAATTCATAATACGTCACATTTGGTTGCATACGAAAAAGGGTCGAAAAAATATTCCCTTGAATTTGACAGTAATAGGAAATTAATCCTACATTTCATTGCAGCAGTAAAAAATTTCTGAGTCATAAACATATATCTTGGGTGTTTCAAAGTACCATTAGTTTTTTAGTTGCTGTTTCTATAGGTTATAATTTGAAATTACATGGTTACTAAAGCTTGTTCACAGGAAAAAAAAGAGGTGAAAATTTGATTGGTAAACTTCCAGTGATGGTTTTTTTCTTACATGCAATGAAATGTTATGTGAAATTTTGTCTATAGTACTGGACAGGATAAAACTTTACTCATGTCAAGTATTTCTTTTTTTGAAACAAAGATAAACTCTGCACAATTTTTTTAAAAGTGAAAATTTAACAAAGACTTATACGGGAAAATCAATGGTGGTATTACACCTGGAAACAAAAATATTACTTGTTATGTAAAAGATATATCTACCTTAATGTTTAAAATGTATAAATGCTATCAATTTTCTAGAAGTATTATCATTATCATAAGGGTAATAATAATCATCAACATCGATATTGAAATAACGATTATCAACATCAACGTGGAGCAACTTGGATCACTGCCAGTTTTCCGTTTACTTCCTATTGTATATGTATGTGTATTTTAATTTAATTGATTGTCATTTCGTCGTTTTTGTTTAAGGCATTGTTTTGTAATTGATTTTGATAGCCCTCTTCGTATACGTATCTTCATTTGTCTTTTTATACGTAACTACTTATCAATTAAAACTGCATTGCAAATCTTGTCAAATTCTTCTTAAAACACCGTAAAAGAATACAGTATTCAAAGATTTCAAGGCAAATCTGAACGTACTCTACGTTGTCTTTCAATCGGCATTTAAACGATGAGTTCCATTGGGTTGTAGGCGCAACACAATCATAATCTATGAAATAAAATGTGCAAAATATAAGGTAAGTCATTTGTAAAGTTATTTGTGATGTTCTTAAACGCATGTTATTAATGTCCTTTTACACATACCATTATAAAATGCAGGTTACAAAATAACAAAAATTTGTCAATACAAAGACAAAGTATTATGTACAGAAGTACTAACATGTTAGTCATTATACCTTCTCTTGAAGTAACACTGTTTTTTTTTAAATTGCAGATATGTATACTACTTGGACATGTTGGACTATCATCTACTTTAATGTGTTTAAATTCAAAATCAAAGCTTCAGGTAATAATAACATTCATAATGTACATATGATTCATATCATTTTTTTTCAAAGGCAAACATCATTTTAACATATCAAAACAAGCAACACATAGATTTTACAAAAATAATGTGAAGTTGTTAAACTATTAATATGGAAATTGTATGAAACTTTAATCAAGAATCAACAACATCTTAACAAACGTTATACTAGAAAACTACACTTCTACAGGTGATAACAGCATATCATAAGCAACACTAAAATGTCAATAAAACTGATATTAAGTCAGGATAACAAAAAAATCATTATTTTACTAATTATATAAAAACTAATGTTTATTGGTAAGTAAAAGAAATAAAAAGAAAAGCAACCTAACGTTTATGGAAATATATCTTAAAGGTACAATGTATAGAAATCTTTAATATATTTTGAAATCTATTTGATATCAAATAACTAATAAAAATGAAAAGTTTTATCTCGTCTTCATGATTTATCTGATATCACAGCAAAATATCTTGTTATAGAATGAAGAATCTGTGAATGAGTGGTTGTCATTTTTTGCTGTTTCTCATATTTGTTTTTCGTTTATTTTTTTGAATAATTTGTTCTTTTACGTGTTGTGCTGCTGCACAAATGTCCAAGGTTAAGGCAAGGATTGGCGCCTTTAAATATGTCTAACCTTTTTAATCATGTATGTGCCTGTCCCATGTCAGGAACCTATAGTTTAGTGGTTGTCGTAGGTTCATGTCTGTCATATTTCGTGTTCGAAAATTGTTTAATTTTAAATTAAGCCGTTAGTTTTCTCATTTGAAATTTTTCATTCGGGGCCTTTTTAAGACCGACAATATGGTACGTTTTTTTTTCTCTCTGTTGAAAGTCATACAGTTGCCTATAATTGCTAAAATCCACCTCATTTGAATATTGGTTGGTAGTTGTTTCATTGTCAATCATACTACATCTCCTTATTTTTGTAATATATAGATAAGGTGCATAATGCCAAACTGGGACGGAGTTGAAGTTAAAAATAACAATATAAGTTTTGAAGCACATCCCCCTCACCCCAAAAAAAAAAAAGATTTTCCAGGCAAACAAAATAAATCGATAAGGGAATAATATAAACATAATTCCAAGTAGGCTTAACATAAATATTTGACAGTTGTATGAACAATCTTTCTTACCTGGAGTAAGAATCTCTCCAACAGAACAGTTCTTTAAGTAACATGTACAATCCTCTTTCTGTGGCGAACAAATACATGGATTTCTTGGTTTATTGACGAAATCATAGCCGTTGGTATAATCACACCTGCATGCAGTGTCTTCAATACTGGTACCCTTTTCATATATAAGTTGTCCAATACCATTGCATTTCGACGTTTTGAACACACATTCGGAACTAGCATTGGTCCAAAATCTAAACGGTTGGTACCAATTGCTGCCACATTGAACTCCTTGTAAAGTACCGACAATTATAAACTTGTATCCTGATGAGATAAAATTAGCTGGACATAGCTACAGATGACAACAAAATTAAAGAAATATTAAGTATATGTTTGTTTAAAAAGCGATATTATGTTCGTTAAATTAATAAAACGTTAAATCTCTCAATTGAATAAACGCATTTTAAACAGACAATCATTATGGCATAATCATGCAAGAAAACCTCCTGATATTTTAACTATCTCATTTTTTTCCTCTGTTCAATTTTACAAATAAAATGCTTTCCCTTTACTTACCAGGTATTTCAAACTCGGGCTTATTTCTACAGAACTCTCTATTTTGCTTTGTATTGTCATCGAACAAACAAAGATAACTATCACTTCCATTGCAGTAAGTATTTTCTCTTATATTACGTTGTATATCACTTGGGCAATATAACTTATATGAATGTAACTCCAGCAATACAGTCATCTGCAGTCAATAAACAAATAATCTTTATCATACGTCAAACTTTTACCTACTAATTAGATTAGATAATATATTTGATAACAAAAAAACATAATACTTTGTATTTGTTTGTGTATTCCATTTACAATTGAATAACTGTTGCCTTGATAAACATTCGATTACAAAATTTGCATGCATATTAAGATGAGAACAAATTAGCGGTTTAATTAATCAATATGCTCTGCAGGAACATTTGGGTTGCAACTGGCAAATGATAGAATGTTGTAAAGGGGTAGATATTATTCCTTGCAACAGTTCACTAATAGTTCCCTCAACAAGTTGTCTAATTCAATAGTTTTTGGTTTTTGTTTTTTGTTATCTTATATATATATCAATATCATCATATTCGTTACCAACATCTATAGACTTGCATTCTTTTTTACGTTTTTTATAGTATCGTCATGACTAAATGATTAGATAACCAAAGGTTTGCCTATTGATTGTTTTATGAAGTATCTGTTGTGTATCTGACACAGTGACTGTGTGCATTTGTACTTAATGAAGTGAGTATATGATATAATTCCTATACACTTATAATTCTTCGTGTTTTGTTATTTGTCGTCCTTAGACAATACTTTTGAGTATTGAGAAATTAACACTTCAAGTTCCCCAAATTACGTTTATAAATGCATGGTATTTTTTTGATACAAAGGCGTGTAACTCAGTTACCACATTTGTTTCCTTCACAATCGTAAATAATGATACTCATTGGTTTTGTCTCATTATTGCAGACTCTGGGCAAAAATACATGTTATTTCATATGCAAACTACAAACCCAAGTGTTTAAGATTATAGCCTCTGACGTATATATTAATTATTTTAATTAAAAAGTAAAACATAATGATATAACTCGAAAACATATGAACATACCAAGAGAACTGTCTGCAAAAATCCTGAAGACATGCTGCAAGAAGAGATACAAATATTCTTAAAATAAATAATGGGTTGAGAAAGCAATTATTCACGCTTTGATTTCAAACAAATAATGCATTATAGTGCTTTGTTGTGATATGTGTCTACCATGTTCCCTTTTAATTCGTGGATAGACACTTTTTTTGTTAATTCAAAAATTTAAAGAATTTGATTTGCAATTTCAGGTGATTTTGACAGAAGTTCATGAAATTACCTTGCAAGATTGTTGATTACTTTTCATGTTTCGTTTTCTTAAGATTTCCAATGAATTAACTGTTTGAAATAGTAATTAATTAACATATCGTTCTGTTTCTTTCTATTCATGAACTAGATATTTTTCCTTCATAATCATAAAAAAAAAATTGACGACATAGTTATAAAAGCAGTTTCTATACAAGTTGAAATTATAATTATGTAATATTTTAGATGCATGAACATTTATGTATTTTTTGCCAGCATCTTCTTTTTTCTTCACATTTTTTTCAGTCGACATGTTTATGTTTTCCTTTGGTGTTGTTGTTTCCGGATTATTAACTGTGTAATACATATAATGCATATCAGAAATCACCCAAAATTTTGGTTCGGTACAACACACAATTCCCCACATATATCCGACCCCTCCAAGCAATACATACTTACGAAAATACACATAGACAGACAACAACCAACGACATATAAATCATTTGGTTTTATTGTGTGACGTGTCGCAAGTATTTCAAAAGATTCTGGCTTACTTAAATAGTCTCAATTTTAAGAGACAGTTACTGACAGTAACTTAAATTTAACTTTTATGCTGGCTTACCAAATCATTAAGCTTTATATCCTTGATGAGGTTTTCTTATGTGAGAAGTGTAATAAGAATTAGAATTAAAATGATTTCAGAGAAAGGCAAATGATTTAAGAGTTACTATAATCATTACCTCTGAATGAAATATGAATCTTTGTTCATTAAGTTTCATCTGCAATATGCCAGACGTTATTTCAGAGTCTAACATTTAAATGACTTACACAAAATTCGAGGGTGTAAGAAAATACTGCGCTTGAAAAAATTACAGCATCTTCATACAAAGAAAGGGATGTTTTAAGGATGTACACCTCTGAGGAGCCAAAAATTTCTAGAATTAAACTTTTTTTCTAAACCTGATTTTTGGGTTTATATGACTGTAAAAAAAATTGGTAAAAAAAGTCAGTTTTGTCAATTTGTGATTTTTCTCTGTTTTAAGAACAAAATGCATATTATTTCAACTTCTTTGTTATAAATGATTGAAGAAATACATATCAAAGAAATTTGAAAAGAAAGAAAGTGATATTGGATGTACATGTTTCGGGTAAAATCATTTCTTGTTCCCCTCACCCATTTTCTCAAAATTTTGGCTAGAAAGACTGATTTGATTGGTAATAAAATTTGAAAAATTGATTACTCAAAAACTACTCATTGTAAATACACATTTTTTTTCATTGAGTTAAGTTTGATTATAACAATTTTTGGATTCATTGATAGTTTCCGCTTGTATCACATGTTTTGGAAATTATTCCAGAACGAGATTTCAACGAAACTGTAACGTCAGAAGAATACACCCTTAAGAGGCATTTACTGTTGGGCTTGCAGGGGAAAAATCGCTTCCCCTTTTTTTCATTTTTTGACTGAATAGAAAATTAAGGATAGCAGGTTGTGGCTATGGTCATGTTGAATGTTGCGTCTTGTTCACTTGTAAATGGTATTAAATGATCTAGAATATGAGGCTCAGGTCTTAGTCTCTGATAACATGACTCTTTTTGAATTTGAGGATATCATCTAGATATCTTTTTGTTTCTTGTGTTGTTGGAATTCTGTGTAATTGATGCATATCAAATATATCGTTCTTTTCATATATGTATTCCATACCTTATTTCCGATTAAACCAAATATTCTAAAAATATTATTAATGCTTTGGTTTCCACCGTGTGTCAATAAAAAAGAAATTACACGCATGCTGAATAAAATAGCTTCTAAAAGAACTAAAGTTTGTAACCTAAAATGCGCATGGAAACAATTCATGTTGCACAATGAACCTTCTTGTAGATTTATAGGGACGACACAACATATTATGTTGTTGTGGACACGAAGAATGTAAATAATAACGACATTTTTCATTTAAAGAAGTCAGGTAAAACTGATAATTGGTATTGTAGTGTGCAATCAACAAATGAGAACATTGTTTTTCTGGTTAAAATGTCAATAATTTCTAAAACCATCATTTCAGATTAAAGATTACATACAGAAGAGGATGTCGCCTCACCTATTTGCACCTAGTGTAAGACAATAAGAAAAGGACATACTTCAAATTTGATTATAAACAGCAAGTTAATGTTGATTTTATCTGTAAAGCAATATACTGAGTCTACTTTTAAACGATTGCAAACCATAGAATTATTTGTTTGATATATGGATGTATGAATACATCAGTTACAATAAACTTTAAAAATAACACATAGACATGATAACGCCATACCTTTTTATCTACGTCCGCTTTTGAATTTTCTACCTGTCCTGGCGTTTATATGAAATGTATTATAAACAGGTTGAATACACTACTTTTAAAGGTCATGCATATGTGTGCATACTAATGTTTTCGACGAAAAGTTGGTGTTTTAAAGTATAGGATGCGACTCTAGTACACATTATTGTATTTACAGAGGTCCTTATATTTTTCTGGATATCCGTAATATTGATGGAGGTTCATAATTATATATATATATATTTCAATATTCCAGGACTTCAACAATTAAATTGCAGGATATCCTATGATATTTACGGACGTTCACAACTACTTCAAGTAATAGTGAACCTCCATGACTATTAAATGATCATCTGAACTTGAATTGTGTAGGTTCTAAAATTTCTTTGTTCACTTAGGTAAGGTGGGCGTTTTGAAAAAAACCACTTGCAACCGGATGTTTTGTTTTTTTAAACGTTTCCAACCGTTTTTTTACTGTGGGTGGGGGTCACAAAAAGAAGGATTAGTATTGTATTCACATTTAATGGAATTGAACAAAAATAAATAGATTCAGTCACATAAACTGTCAAATATTCTTCTTTGAGTTTGATTTGATTTTTTTCAATAATTTATCCCTTTTTTACTCTTCTTTCATTCACTATTTTATGCATCAGCATTGATTTAACAACAATATACTTAAGTTCTTTGTTTCTTTGTCTACACATTTTGATATTATTTATCAAAATATGTCTCTTTCTTAAATTTCTCCAGATTTTAAGTGCTTCAAATTACACTTCCTTAGGCCCATGCATGGACACCATAATTAATACTTGTAAAACATTGTTGCTTTGTCTGTTCCTGAGTAATGTTTTAATTCTAGCCATGGTACTAAATCCTCTCTCACATCCTACAAATAAAAGATAAAAATAATTTATCAAGAACACATATGAGCTGAATATAAATTAGTATACAAATAATTACTCAAACAAATGTTTACTATAAAGGAGACTTACCAGCACTAGATACAGGTATAACAGCACCAACAGAAGCCAGTAAGCTAATATTTGGAAATGCATCTTTAAACTTTATGGCCATGGTAGTCATGATTTCTACTTGAGATTTTGTTGCTTTCATGTCTCTAGCAATTACAGATTTAGACTGTAATCATTCTGTAGTCAGGTCTTTGCTGTCAGGAAGACACTTGCTAAAGTGGTCTGAAAGTATCTACAAAATAGAATAAAAAATAGTTAAATTCATGTACTTATTTTTTTTGTAACTTTTTTTGATAAACAACAAAATAAGAATTAATTATTTCATGAACAAAAAACAAACAAACCTGTAGTGATGAACCTCCATAACTAATAAAAGCTTGAGAGGACACAGCTGGAGCAACTATTGGACCAAATATTTTGAAGGCTGTTTGAATGAGACCTGAACAGAAGTTTATATTTTTATACTTTTTGAAAAAATCTTATATATTGAGAAGGAAACAGTATGTAAAATACATATTCAAGAGATTTGTAAGATATGGTCTTACCTTGTCCTTGTTCTTCTGCTATCACTGCTAGCCTTTCATATGACAAAATTAGTTTTGTGCATCTCGGATAGCAGATGGCTTTTGCAGGACTCCCTCCTCCTTCGAATGCATGGCCTATCGATCCAAGTTTCTGTCCTGTTCCTCGCTTTACTGCTGTTTTTTTTTAGCACACAAACAGAAATATCCTTCCTCTGTAACGATTAGTCATTAAAAGTCCTGCTCATATTTATCTTTGCTTGCGTGCCTTTTCCGTTGTTTTGATGCTTTTTTTCAATTACAACAATTTCAATACAACTATCCGTTTTAGTTGATTTATTTGGCCTAGAATTTTCCTTTTCACCATCGGCATCTACCTTTCTCTTCCCCCGATTAATAAAAGAAAACATTGAAATTTGACAATCTGCCATTGTTGTCAATGAAAACAAATCAGCGAGGCGCGATTAGTATTTAAATTTTTACGGTACGGAACCAAAAAAAATCCGGAATTTGAAAAAAAAGCCGACCACCTCCTAAAATATAAAGATGATCGGCTTTCAAAAGAAGGTGGTCGGAACACCCTGCTTACATGCTGAATAAAAAAAAAATAATAACTTTTACAATAATGACATGTTGGCATTGAATAACTAATAGCTGTCAATTTGTCATTGTACGAAGAACAACGAAAATTGTCTATATTGCAATTTGTTACTGAAACGAGCTTTATTTTTTATTAGTTTTATTATTAGAATTACAAAACAGGTTTGTACAGGGCGAGCGCTTTCTCTAGCATATGTCTTTACGAATACCTCCACAAAATGTACAACTAAGTACATCAAAAACGAGCAAAGTTTTATGAGCACATATAACTTTACTTGTTAAATATGTACCAAGCTCTGTAAATTGTTTATTTATATGAATTTGCCTTCATTTGGTAACAAATTAATGTAATGACCTTGTTTAATAGTGGTTTGTTTTAATTATGTATTTATTTGAAAAATACTTGTCACTTTAAATCACTTCCGTCCTTATAATTTGCAATGTTTTTCAAAATGTTCTAAGTATAGATATATAATGGAAAATTCGGAAATTGCCATTTGTTTAGTATCTATTTTTACTTTTTGTAATTGCCATATTTTGTCAGACGGACATTGTTTTTGAAACATAAGATTAGGAACGTTTTCCTTTCTTTGGTAACTTCCGAACTAAAATGTTTATGGCGTGGAGGTAAGCAACTTCAGTCTCTTCTTGATGTATGTTTTTTTTTTTTTTTTTTTACAATTAATTATTACTGCCAACAAAATTGTCTGTTGTCGGAACTTTGAACCTGCAGCTGGGACTTAGAAAATGATGCAAAAGTACGTTTCTTTCAGATTATTAGTCTTTATCTCAAACAACATTGCAAGTTCATATCATGTTCAGAGATGAACAGTTATATTTCAACGAAGTTGCAAAATTTCATTTAAAAATTATTTTTCTTAATTTGTTAAATTTAATTTTTGAATATTCAACTGCCCAATATATACTTGGAAAATGAGTCAAAATACTTAAAAATATCCATTAAATTGAAATGTGATTTAGCTGTCCAACGATAGTCTTTGGGCTCAGTAGATAATCATCTTTTTTCTGAATTGAAGATCAAGTAGCGATAAAACAGTACAAATATACCTGTATTTTTTCAGTAGAATGATGACACGGTGCAGCTCTCAGTAAACGTTACATTCGATGATATAGTTGAATTGCATGTTGTTTTAACAGTGTTTCTAAACATATTATCACCAAAATTGGTAGAAAGACAATATGGAGTTAAACAAATTCTCTTTCCCCGAATAACAACGACATATTTTTCAGAGTGTGAGAACGGATTTACAATCGGCAGCTCAAAATGTGAACCTTGTTTTAGCGGCAAATATGGCCCCAAATGCGGAAAGACTTGTTACTGTCAAACAAATGAATGGTACGTCTTGCTGTTGTTATCTTATTAATTAACGACAATATACATATATACACCCGTCGTGTTACTCATGTAAGTAATCTACCGAAATTAGCAAAATCAATGTATAATGCATTCAATAATGTAAGACAAAGCGATATCTAATTTATTAAAATATAGGTATAATGGGGAAAAAGGGTGTGTGTGTTATTATTCGATTATTATAATTCTATTTGGTAGGTGTGCTCATTCATATAAAAGGCTGTGTCCCTAATAAAAACTGAATACTGGTGACTGGTAAGTATATTGCTTTTGTTGGTCAATTGCGCTCTATAAGACAGTGACATTTGTATTTGTCCACATGTAACTTTGAATATGGTCTAATCTATAGATCAACTCCCTCGGGCAAAGTTGACTTTAACTGTAATTGGCTAGTTATTTTCATAGCCCTTTTTTCGTCATATAGCTCTTCAATTGTTTTTGGTTCCTTTTCATCCTTTGCTTTCAAATATTTTGCACTGAGCGTTACTGATGTGGTAAATCCAATTTAGTATCATAAAATATAAAAGACGCCGCTGTGACAAAATGAAAAGAAATGTTTTTGTTACGAGCGCCAAAATTTGTTTTATTTTAAATTCACGATTGCACTATGTAAGGTATTTTGAAGAAAAAATTATAACAATGCTATTGAATTCACGCTTGTGTCGAATCCAACATACTGTGAAAGTACTTGAATTCGTGGGTATCAATTTTCGTTGTTTGAGCTAAAGTTACATGTTCGTTGGTTTTTTAATGCGTAGATTTTAGTTTTCTGAAAAATCGGAAACGAAGACTAGGTATATATAGTTTAAATTATCCTTTTATTGCGACAAAATTTAAGGTGTAATATCTTTGAAATATCATAAATATTTACAGAGATTGTCCTTAGAAAGGAAAAATCCCCAAAAGTACAAAATTTGTATATTTTTCCAAATGTTTTTTTTTTTTTTTTTTTTTTGGGGGGGGGGATATTTAGGACATGCTACTTCAAAATTAAAAAAAAAAGTAAGAAAAAAATTCTGGCTTCATCCCAACCTGCTCTTTATTTCTGCGCTTTTGTTACTTAAAGACACCTTCTACTTTTAAACTACATTGGCTTTCCCCTGCAGACCTTGCACATGCCTGGCTGAAGAGGAGACGGCTGGCATATTGTTCGGCAGGTAAGTTCCGCTCCACTATGAAGGTTGCAAGTTGACTTCCACGAGTGGGATCTCAATATTCGTTAGCATGTTGTGTATTTGTCCATGACCAAAATGTCATTAGATTGATTAAAGTGCCATTATTGATAATAGCCAATATTATTTACTCAAACTATTTACATTGGTCAATGGAGGCTTGGACGCTGAAAATTAGTAATCGTTAGTGTAGATTTAAAAAAAACGTATCCAGTTAAGTCGTAAGTCTACCATTGGGGACCTGAAATGTTTGTTCACTGAAAAAATCAACAAAAATAAATTTTTTTTTGATCACATAACAATTAACAAATATTTAGCCAATTCGCCTTCTTCAAAATATTAGAACATAGCCGCGACATTGCGGGTCCTTGACTGCATTAAAGTACCCACGCCAAATTTTAGTAATTTTAAGTATTCCTATTGTCATCTGATAAAGTCATGCTGATTATAAGGTCCACAGTTTCTCTGCTTGTTTTTTTTTATATTTTCATTTTTATATTTTGATGATGAGTGAATCAGGTGATTGTATGTTTGTATGCTTTATTGCATTCTACGTATCGTTTTGGGGGAAGGTTAACTTTCTGGTCAGGCTGGTAAACTGGGAAGGCAAATGCTCACATTAAATATGTATCGATACAGTGTGTTAAATGTCCACCTTAACACCATTACCCATGGTGGTGCTCCTATTAAAGGCGGAAGATACATAACATACATACATAACTACAACCGGAAATAACATGTGACATATACTATTGGGATCGGTATCTGATTAGACCCCAAACTTGTTATTTATTGGTAATATTAATTATGTAGAAAACAAAAGGATCATCAGATCAATACCAATACTAAGCACAAAACAAAACAAAACAAAACAAAACAATTGTCAAACAAAAATAAATATAATGTAGTACACTCATTGAGAAATATCAAATGATTAAAAAAAAAGCAAATTCAAGCTAGATAAATACTGAACATGCACAAAAAAAGAGATCAAATTCTTTATTACGTTGTGTGTAGCAATGAAGGTCTATGAGCACAATTTGATGAATACAAATAAAAAAATAATCCTATAGTAAAGAAGGGAATCAATGAGACGAACATGCTCCTTTATTTATACGAAAATCAACTTAAAATATAGGCCACAGTGCATACAAATGTTTAAATATCTAATTACAAAATATATGAAAACATTTGATTAAGAAATCTTTTAAAAAATCCTGTTTTTAATTAAATGTTATAGTTTAAATTTATTTGGTGTAGACTGCATGCTGCATTGTTGATGTATCTTAATAACTTATGTCTCGTGTATTCTCAATGCAGTTTACTGACACACCCCTTATTCTATCTTATTTTCAAATACAGTTTTTACATATGACATGTATGAAGCCCATAACTGCCGTTTGTTTCAATACAAAGCTCAATTGAAAGCAAATGCGTTTCTTGCTGAAAGTCTGTGCGAAATAAAATGTGTTTTAAAGTATCAAATTAATAATTATGATGATGGATGACTATAAAACATGAAGCGGCAACTTGAATGTATATTCAGGAGGAGACAATTTTAAGGCTATAGGAATATGAACCCTGCTTTGTATACCGAAACGTATTTTAAGGAGTTAGTTCACAAGGCAACAGGCAGGAGGAAGACATGTCTTCTTGAACATATTTGTTTTACTCCCAGCCGACAAATCCTTGTGCCAAATGTATCAAACTAACAATACTTATGCATGTGTAGATACGATAACTTCAGACAATATCATTAGAAGTAATAAGGAACATTACATTAATTGCATAAAGCACGGTCAAATGGACAAATTGTTTCAAATATGTACATGTATTTCCAATGGTTTTACTTTCGCAAATTGAGTTTACCCAACAACGGGAACGTCTACCATGTATTTGTGTGCAGCCACCACCCATACACCGAATATTGTTCATCACTATAATTTTGTCTTTATATGGAAACGAATAAATGGTTTTAATGACCTAATTCAAATGCGGATTTTTAACTATTTCATATTGATTTGTTAAACATTCACTATTTTGCCTTCAATCACTTCCGTCCTTATTCACTTACAACAGGATATTCGGTATCTCAAACATGTCTAATTCTAAAGTCGTCATTTGCTTAATTTTAGTTTCTTTTATCAGAATCTGCAATTGTCAGTTGTCATCAGACGGACAATGCATCCGAAACAAAAGGTAAGGTCATAATGTCTATTTTATTCTAATTGTAGTACGATGTGCATGACACATTGACATTATTACACTAACTGCTTTAGGTATATAACCACTCA